CCCCCCCCCCCCCCCCATGAAGGTGGTCCGGTCCCTGTAGTGTTGTATTCATGTAAAGGTTCTATCATTTAGTTATTTCAGTCAGGTAAAATGGTGCTAAAGGCAATATGCACTGGTTTGCAATTCCCAAGATCACCATTTTTTATTTGGGTTTTCTGGCTGAGCAACTCATTCTAATGAGCATACTTTTAAGTAAGCAGCTTGGCTGCTTTATTCTGCAGCTCCTTCAGGCTTCTTAGCTGGATGCCTTTGCTGCTACTAATCTGATGCCGTCTGTTAGACCAGCCGCTGCTCTTGCAAATGTGATGCAGAATTTCTGAAGTTCTGTCTGCCTCTTTGCTCTTCAAATGACTTGTATACTTTTCATCTTTTCAGTTTGCTTCAGCTAGGCTGGATTTCCTATCTTTGGTTTAGTGAACATCCTTGCTGGGCTGAATGACCTTTGTGCCTTGCCATGAGCACATAGAGGGCGTCCATCTTGCCCTCTCCCATCTATGTGATGAGTGGTATACACACATGCCATCTGTGACTCCTTGGGCAGCTTGACAGGGCTGACTCTGAGGATTTTAATTTCCTTGCTTCTTTGGAGTCTTTTTCTCTCACATAGACGGGATGGAGGGGTGCTGTCACTTACCATTGCAGGGACTGTATCCTTGGAGGGAAATATAAAACAAGTCTTGGTCACTTCTGCTCACTAAAGATCTCAACTCTTGACAGCAGTCAAGGTGGTTAAATTCCAGCCTGGGAAACTACATTTCTAGTGCCTAAATACCCTGCATAGTTTCTTAACTGTGGTGGTGAGTGGCTGTGTTCAGCTGCTGTAATCTTTTTGCTTCCAAGGTGGACAGAGAGACCATCTTGTACACCTTGTGCAGGTTAACATCAGGAGGTACTGAGAGAACCTTTAGCTTGTGGGGTCCTTGTGCTGCCATACTATCACAGTGATATGCAGTCAGCTCAGCATGAGATGTATTTTCTTCTACTGAGTTACTCATAAGGATGACTAGGCACAAACTTTCCTCAGGGAAATTTGATTTCCATACTCATGTCCTGGAACCCCTCCATATGAGTCAGGCATCCTGAACATCACTTACAAAAAAAGCAGGGGGGCATGTAAGAACAATGTAGGTAAGGGAAGCTTCCCCTTGCAGCTGCTTTTGTTTTCTTTGAGTAGGCAGCATTAAAAGCACTTTAACTTCTCTGCAGTAACAGAAAGCTGAGCTACAGCAGCCAAGCAGAAATTGATTGCTGCAGCTCTGCTGACTGCAGGGGGGTGGGAGGAGAAACACGAGTGGATGTGCCTTTAACTCCCCAGTCTGCAGGTTACAGATGCCTGTTTTGTGATTTAAAATTGCTTGCAGGGAGTCCCTGTACCTGAACAGGGACTTGAAACCCTCATTGATCCTGCTTGTCCTTTTAAACATTACATAATTAGCTCAGGAGCACGTTGAGGGGGGCTTGGTCCTGGACTCAAGCTTCCAGAACTCTCAGTCCGCGGACACGTAATGATGGGTTGGATGGTTGGTCTGATTCAGGAAGTACCTTCCTGTTATCTGTACCAAGGCTATTCCTTGCCTTTTCTTCCTTAGTACACATCAATGATGTCAAGAAATTTGTCACTGTCTTATTTGGGAGGTAACTTTTTTTTTTCCGAAAGCGTTTTGCCATACTGCCACGTTGGTTACAAAGCAGATTGAACTGTCTAAACAAGCCCACAGTTTTGAGCACCACCTATAGATTAACAGTGGGACTTAGTAAACTGCCTCTTTGAGTTCTTGGACATGTGACAACTTTATACTAATGTAATCAGTTTCCATATTCATGTTTCCAATATATATATTAGATATCAGGCAAACAGCTTTGTACTGCTATAACTCTTGGCTTTCAGTATAGAATTACCCTAGGAAATATTGGGGGTAAAACTACACCTAGCAAAGGTGTCACATGTTTGCAGTAGCCCTTTGCTGTAGATGCCTAAGCCATTACCTGTGCCTTTCCCACCTAGTGCTGAGGTACTGTATAATGTTTAGAGGAAGCAGTTAGCCCAGGTAGCTGCTCACTTCCCCATTCCAGATCCTAATGTAACTTACTTCAGCGTACAAAACTGTTATAAGTTATGCTGACCTAAATGCTTTGTGCCTAGGTCCCAAAAGGGGCTCTCTAAGTGGGCATGGGGGGCAGGGAATATAGTTGAAAAGCTGATTTGAATGATGGTTCTAATAACATTGGTTTGACCTTCCCTAGGATGTGAAATATATTCAAACAGACGGGTATCGGGCTCCAGAGGCAGAATTACAGAACTGCCTGGCCCAGGCTGGGCTCCAGAGTGAAATAGAGTGCACCTCTGCTGTGGATCTCTGGAGTCTGGGAATTGTTTTACTGGAAATGTTCTCAGGAATGAAACTGAAACATACAGTCCAATCTCAGGAATGGAAGGTAAGGAATAGCTGCATCTTGGATTCCCAGATATCGGGGTGGATGCTCTTATTCTCATGCTCCTTTATTTTGTCTTGTTGATGTAAGGTTATTCTCAGTGTCCAGGAAATACCATTAGAACAATCACTTTCAGTCCCGTATGTCTTCTGGGGTATTATTGGTTGAGAACCTTGAAATCGCACCTGCAGGACAAGAGTTTCTTTGTGGCCTGAGCGTAGTTCATGACGTTCATCCTGCAGAAAAGGTGAAATATTGAGGCTCCCAAAACTGCCTTTGGACTCCCCATGTAAGAAGAATTACAACTGGTTTTGGCATAACACCAGAACAACAAGCAAAACAGGCTAGGTCTTTGCTAATAGCTCAGCAGGACAATGACAAAGCAAGAACATGCTCTCTAGCTTTTAAATCGACTCCTGTGCTAATGTGAGGCTTTTTGTTAACTGTGCTGTATCTGAGGGGGAGAGATGTCCCAATCGTGGGACTCAAAGCATGACTGGGTTTTCTGATGTGAAATAAAGCAGTTTAATTTTCAGCTCTCCTCCCTGAAGTAATCTCCATTCAGAAAGATTCTCAGAAATAAAAAAAGCTCTTTCAGCACCTGCTTGCCTGCCTGCCATAGATCGATCGATCTAGATTAGCCCGAAATCCTCTGCATAAGATGGGCAAAACCAGTGGTTTTGATAGTTTGGAAGAGAGGGAGCAGAAAAGAATGGGATATTTATTTGAAATGGAGCTGTGTAGCTGATGGCCTTCAGGCCAGATCCAGCCTGTCTGAGAGTTTTGCAGATTCCCCCCACGCTAGTTCTGATTGCACTAGTTGCAGAAATGCAAGCAACATAGCTTCATTTGTGCAATGCCACTCTTGGGTTAGTCAGCTTTGCCAAGAAGCTCGCTGTCTCTCGTGTGTGTGTTTATTGATATACTTGATACAAAAGTGTTTTGGCTATTTGGAGTTATGCTGTATGTAGGCAGTTTGAATTAACCCACACTGAAGGAAGAGATCAAGGTGATATGAAGAAAACTTATGAACAAAATTATATTTTGCACCTCGTTACACAAAGCTTTTGTAGAGGTGCAAAATATAATTTTGTTCATAAGTTTTCTTCAGTTCATCTTGATCTCTTCCTTCAGTGTGGGTTAATTCAAACTGCCTACATAGAGCGTAACTCCAAGAGTGTATCAAGTTTAGAAAGTATCATTGCATCCATTTCTAGCATTATGGCAAATGTTTTACATTAAGATTTTCTTTCCTTCTAAGCCTGGCTTCTTTCTCTCTCCAGACAAGCAGTTCTGCCATCATTGATCACATTTTTGCCAGTGAAGGTGTGGTAAATTCAGCCATCCCAGCCTATCACCTCAGAGACCTTATCAAAAGGTATGTTACAATAGCACATTTACTGCAAGCAGTCAATATAGCACATCTTCAGCATGATTAATCTCGGCTTTGTTATGGTTTTTGCCTTGCTTTCAGGTACTAAGAAGTTGTAGCCTCCCTAGGCTAGTATTTTTTTTTTTTTTTAATCTTCTCTCTTAGGTCAGTGCAGCTTCGTAAGTCACAGCAGTGCTTAGAACTTTGGCATAGATAGCTTTCCAGCATTTTAACTATTCAGATCTCAGATTGATTAAAGCAGGTGGAAAGGACAGCATTTAAAACCCCAGCACCTTGCCTGTGCAAGTACTTCCAGTGGAGCTGTGGTGTTTGGAAAACTCAGAAAAACAGTTGCACAAATGCACTTTACTGGGATAAAGGCACATTATAAAACCGTGGAGAATGCCTTCCCACTCGTATTGGGAAGGTGTGCTGTCGACAACTTTCAGTTCTGGATCTCGAGGTCTGTAGAAGCCTCTCATTTCTGCCTCTTTAGCTTAGATTTTTTTCAGGCAGAGAAATTGGCTTGAACCTGGCAGGCTATCGTGGTGATTTTGTCACTGTTGGGCTGCTGGAAGAGGAAAGCTCTAAGCAGCAGCAACAGCATGAGCATTAAGATTGTAGGTGAGGAGGATGGAGAGGCATGGTATCCTACTTTCCAAGCATTCAGTATTGCGAGTCCCTGGGGGGCAGTCTTTGGGGAAGGGGGGAAAAATGGTTTTTGGGTCCCTGTAACACAGTTGCACTGAGTCCCAATTCTGGAAAGATACAGGCACCCCTCGATGAATAACAGATCTTTGAGAATCATGGAGGAGTATTGATGCGAACAAAGGACACTTTGAAGTGCTTACTTAAGTTAGATTGGAGGACAGATTATGCTGTGGTATTTATTCATGCCAAGTCTTCAGTCTTGCTCTGAAATGTATCTTCTACATGCAGCCTTCGCTAAAGTGATGTGAATCAGAATATAAAGAGTGTCTTTTTATCTTACAGCATGCTTCATTATGACCAAGGAAAAAGAGCCACTGCTGAAAAGGCCTTGTGTAGCCCATTCTTCAGCATTCCTTTTGGTAAGTCAGATGACCTATCCCCTGTCCCTGCCTCTTTAGTGTGACTGCACTTAAACAGAGCCGGAACTGTTTGGCCCCTATGGTTTTCTTTCTCTCCCTACATCAGTCTCTTGTGCCCAGCAGTACTTATCCTCTCCCTTCTGTGATGTGACTGCAGAGTAGGGTCTGAGCTTGCCTTGTGCTTTCACTATTACTAAATGTGATTGTAGGCCTTCTGTCTCCCTGAGGGCGCTAGTACTGGACTCCCTTTGGAAGTGCCAGCAGCCCCATATCATCTGCATAAGATGGGCAAAATGAGTGGTTTTGATAGTCTGGAAGAAAGGAAGCAGAAAAGAATGGGGTATTTATTTGAAACGGAGCTGTCTAGCTGATGACCTCCGGGCCAGATCCAGCCTGTTGAGAGTTGTGCAGAGATTTCCCCCCAGTGCTAGTTCTGATTGCACTAGTTCCAAAAATGCAAGTAGCATGGCTTCATTTGTGCAGTGCCACTCATGGGTTAGTCAGCTTTGCCAGGAAGCCGAGCTGATTAGCTCAAGCACAGCACTTTGTGGGCATAGTTCTGCTGTGTGCAGAGGTAGCTCAAGTATCTCTGCAGGGTACTAGGCAAATGGGCTGTGCAGCTGTCTGGGAGAAGTGTGCTGTGCAGAGGGCTAGAGACGGGTGTGGGAGACCTGCATTTGGAGAAATGGGGTGAGTGGAGCCAGGGAGGTGTTAGCCCCAGCCCCGAACGGGGCCTCCCCACCAAGCAGGAAAGGGAAAATCTCTCCCCTTCCTCTCCTTTGGGCCATCTTGATTTGGTAGGAATAGCTGAGTGGTGTGGTTGCCATCCAACCCTTGAATAAACACCTATGATATAATCCACACCCCAATTTCCCTATTGAAAATATGGTCTAAAACTGTGCCTGTTATGGGATACTATGTAAAGGTCCTCAGAGAGTCCTAAACTCGAGGAGATGGTATTAGCACATGGGTTTCTTCGTTCCTCACATGGTACAAGTGTGGTGGCTTTGAAGTCAAGAACATGAGTGGTGAGAGATGTCTGATGATGGCACCTGTTAGCATGCCTTCCCCTCAGATAAAGCTGGCTTGCACGCAGGTCCTGGCCATTGCACTGAAATAGCACCATGCTCCAGGGAATGGCACCAGCCCTGGGGACCAAGTGGCTGGGATTCAAGTGCTGCCTGTACTGCTGATTGTATGGCAAGTCCCCCTGCACACAGATGTTGGGATCTGCCAGCACTGCCCTCTCTCTGATCTGGCACTGTCATCTTTACTGGATCCCATGCTTGGATCCTGATGCATCAGGACCTCTCCTGCTTCTCTTGGTCCCTTCCCTCAGAATCCTGCCCCTGCTGCAGCATCCTCCAGAACCTTTGTCAGTGCGTCTCAGGAGTTATGCCTGGCTTTACCGCCTCCTGCCCCAGCCCTTTCTACGCTCTGCCTCTACACTGGACAGTGCAGCTGTGGCCTTGATGTATCCTCCTTCCTTTTCCGTTCATTCTGGTGCCAGCATGGTGGTACAGGGCCTCTCATCTCTGGCTGGAGGAGTGACTGGCTGTGAACTTCAGGCAGCCTTCCCTGAGCTTGGTACAGGCTGAGGGATTGAGCAAACTACAGTTGAGCATAGGGCAGCTCCAGGACACCTTTGTGGCAGCCCTGGGTGGGAACTTTCTTCTTTACCTGGATCTTGGTCAAGAGGAGCTGCTGTTTCAGCCCTGCCAGGGCACATTGGCTTTTTTCTTCTCTTCCATTAGGGATTTCAGTTGCATTGAAAGCTCTGTCTCCCCAATCCTTCACCATCTGGCCCTGAGTGAGCCCCTGTCATTCTGCCTGGCACCCTTTTTGATCTGTCACTCAGCTTGTACAGACTGTGAGGTTTGTATCCCCAGACTCAATTTTGACCTGCTTTCCTACTTAAGGAAAGTGGAGGAGACCATCCAGCCTAGCTGGCTCTTCTGGCTGGTTGCTCCCAGAGGGCAGGGTGTATTTTCCCCCCTCCACCTTCAGGGTGTACCAGGAAACCCTCTTGAGCCAAAAAGAATGGAGGGGCAGATTTTGGCAGTTTGAGAGGCTTCTGGAGGAGAGGAGATTTGAAATGTTGATACATTGGGCTGTTAAAGCACAACACTGGAACCTGGAAGATCTAGGGTCAGTTCCCAGTGTGCTACAGGTTTTTTACACGACTTCGGACAAATCATTTGACTCCTTGGTGCTGCTTCCTCACTTGTGCAATGCAGATCTTGCTTCTTGAGACTTGCAGGATGAGAAGGAACAGCTTGTGAGTGCTGGATTGCTACAGCAACGGGGACTCCAGATTTAGAAGTCAGTGTGGACCTTTAGGATCTTCTCTGACATCCATCCATCCACTGATTCTGATTCCACAGTTGAGCCCTTTAACTTTGGGTTGAGCTAAAATGTGTCTTTTGAGAGGGTGTTTTTGATCTGGATTTAAAACATGGAAGGGATGAAGAATTAACTAGAGATCTCAGTAAGTTGTTCCAGTAATCAGTCACCCCTGATGTTTTAAAAATGCTAATCTTATTACCATTTTGGAATATTTGCTAACTTCAGCTGTAGGCTCTTGTTCTACCTTTGTCTTCTGGGTTAAAGAACCGTCTGCTCTAGGACTGGCAAAGTAGTATTTTAGATTATAGTTCCAACTCTTGTGTTCCTTAGCTACTATTTCTGTTCCATATAGCAGTCATCTGGTTGCATAAGATGATCTGCCAATTTGCATGGTATGCAGAGGTGCTGCAAAAAGGAAGTCTTGGGCCATTTAACATTTGATATCCTCTCAGCTGGTAAGTCATGTGGGAAAGGAATTCTAGCATGGTGAATTGATGTTTGTGGCTTTCCTTTGCCACTCCTAAACCAGCAATATCAATCTCTTTCAATTTGCTTGGGAGCCACAATGCATGCTGAATATTCATGGCTCTGGTTCAAAAAAACACTTCCAGTGGGTTGACAGTTCTTTTTCAAACTTAGCAGGGTTTTACTGGGATTTTTCCATCATTACCATCCCACCACAGTGTGGGTAATTTGAAATATTCATCTCTGAACTGTTTAGCTTCCTTTGGAAAGACCCTTTGCTATTAAGCACTAATTCTTCCAGCCCAACCTTTAAGCTAAAGCACTTCATGCTACTTGTATGAAGAGAAGGCAGTTATCTGGAACTAGTCTTGATATGATCACAGCTCGGCTGGGTTTAATTTTTATCTTTCACACCTTCATAAATTCACCAACAAGGTTGGCTTGTAACCATTTGGTTTGTGTGTGCGCTCCAATGGAAAATCCATAAGGGAGCCACCCCAACTCTTTCAACAAAAATAGTGGAAATCTTAGAGGAATGTGGTGGTGTTTTCTCTGCTTCTGTAACTTTCAGATAAGGACATAAATATGTCTTCCCTTTGGAGATAACATGGGCCAAGCTGCCAGTAGAGGTGCACTGCTACATCAGTCCCATATTGGATCGGCATCAATAGAAGGCAAATTGACAGTATTGGCAATCAGCTTTTTTTAATGTGGCCAATAATGTCGCCAATAAATGTCCTGTGCATGCACGCAGCCACAGAGCAGCATGCCGGTGGCCAAGAGCTCAGCCTGGTAGTGTAGAGAGCAGCCAGGTCCAGCTGGTAAGTCTGTTGTGTGGGAAGGGGCTTGGTGGGGCAGGGGCAGGCGCTGTACAGCTGGGGCAGGGCACAGGATGGAGCTGTGAGGGACTTATCCAGGGAGCAGTAGGGGGGCAGCTCCCATCACTGCATGAACCCTGGGAGAGCATGGGGGAGCGTGTACGCCTTGATCTGCACACAGGGCAAGGGTGGGCTGTTGCTATAGGCTGGGGCAGCACCGGGCCTTCCTTGGTGGGGGGGTTGGGCTAGGGCTGTGCTTGGGGTAGGCAGTGGCACTGGGATGGGGGGCTACGGCAAATTTTAGGGTGGCTGCAGTCACTCCCTGTAGCCTTCCTCCCAGTGCTGCCACCGCCTGCTACAAGTTCAGCCCGGGCCAGGCCCCACTGGGAAGAGCTTGGTACTACCCTGGTCCCAGCCTGCAGCGGCAGCCCACCCTCACCCTGGGCACACATCCGGGGGCACATGCCCCTCGTTCCCTCCTAGGGTGTACATAGTGATGGGAGCCGTCCCCTACTATACCCCCCGGATGAGCTGCTCGCAGCTCCATTCTGAAGTCTGCCCTGGCCCCAGCCCCACACCCTCATGCCTCACCATGGGGGCCTCGATCTGCCCCCTCCTCCCTTGCCCCTTCATGCTTTCACTTCTAGTTGTTGTGCACTGGCTGACCCACTTAGACTGGTCATTCTGCAGGAATGGTAGCTTTATGTTGAGAAGTTCCTCAGATGCTTAATCACCAGGAGTGAAAATCCTGCAGCTACTTTGAAAAGCAGTTTACTTAGTACCTGTGCTTGTAGGTAGCTATAACACTGGTTTCTCACTCCACCGATTCACCTCCCAAGACAGGGCTGAACTCTAAGGCAATATATTGCTTAAGGTAATTGATGGGGGGTTTTTTGCCTTCCCTAGCTTTAGAGTTGTCCTTAGTATCGTGGCTTTGAAACACTTGTGTTGCAGTTGAATTTTTTTTAGGGAACTCTTGATTAACTTGCATTCAGGAACTGTTACTCTAAATTTTAACTGTGGGTGAGAGGAGATTGATTGATTGACCAGTGAGACCATTCCAGTTGCAACTCAAAACATTTTTAGGATATGTGATAACAAAGGCTTATTTGGATCAATAAAGACAATACTTATGTAGCTTTGGATTCAGGAAATAAACAGGTCTGCTAGCCAGGCTTCTCTTTTCCCTTGGGGACTTGAATTGGTTCTCTGAGCTCCAGAGAAATCCAAATTTAGGAGTTCAAATATAGAAGTCCAAATTTCCTTCCAGCCTGTGCCCAAAATTTATAGATGGCTGGTTCTAATATTCTGACGAACGATCTCTGATTGGATGTATTTGTTTGTTTCACTGAAACTTTTGGAACTGGATTGAATTAGATTTCTTGTAAACCTGGAAGGTGTTAATTAGTTGGGATTTACATCCTTGCAAAAGCAAAAGGGAGGATTCCTTATCTCCTTTCCCTTCCCATTGTGGAATGCTGTTTAAAGTTTAACACTGACTTGCTATTTCTTCACCTTAGTTTATGGTCAGACAAGGCTGCTTTGTTTTTTACAACTCATCTTAGCATTCTAACAAAACACATCTATTGCAGCAAAATAACATTCAATACATTTGCCTACATCAATCACTATTTATGGTTCTTCCTTTCAAGCTTTCTGCTCTGTTTGATTGTGTCTAATTAAACATATGAATGACTTCCATTGCTTTGCTGACCAAACCAGTTGTTACATCTGCAAAGGTTCATGCTATGGTCACTCAGAGACAGACTTCTGGGCCCTTCTGCCTTAACCACATTTCTGCAACTTAGACCTAGGCCTCTTGCAAAAAAAAAAAAAAAAAAAAAAAA